CCCAGCCCCTGCCCGCGTTTCGGCTGCTGCGTCTCCCTTTTGGATCCCCGTAGCGCCCGGGAAGGGCCAGGCCGGGCTCGGCACCCTCGGGTGCCCCCTCGTCCTGCGGCGCCCCGGGGCGAGCGCCCGGCTGCCCGTGGGCTGGCGCGGCCCAACCCAGTGCGGGGCAGCGGGGCTCCCCTTTGCTCTTTCGTTTCCAGCAGATGGGAAGTTTCGATATCCTGAAAGCGAAACTGGGAATCGAAACTTGTCTCTTCAGAGCTGCTGCTTAAGGTAGCCCGGGCAGGAGCGCCTGGGGCTGCCGTGCCGCAGCCCACGGGGGCACCGGCGCCTGCCCRTGCCCAGCGCTGCAGCAAAACTGGTGACCACTGTCCCACCGCCTGCAGCGGTGCCGCAGCCTTCAGGGAGCGGGGCTCTGGCCGCGTCCCACTGCATTCCATGACCCTGGCATTTCCTGTGACACCAGATCCAGCCGTGTCTCAGCACCTCCACTGACAGCAGTGCCTCTGGTGACACCGGGGACAGCCGTGCCTGCTGCCAGCCATGTCACAGCTCTGGCCCGGGGACAGGACCCCCCAGCATGGACACAAGCTCGGGGTGCCCCCATGTGGTGCCAGGCGCCTTCCTGACAGCTGGGGCGCAGGGAGGGGGCACTGAGGCACCAGGGAACCCCCTCTCAGGCCACCAGGCACCTCGTGGCACCCCTGTGCAGCCCCGGCCATCTGCCCCCTCCCAGTGCCCATGGCCATGGCCAGCCCTGGGGACTCCCCTTTTGGGGACCCAGCCCCAGACACGCACCCCCCACGCTGTGCCCCCAGCAGGGGGGTGCACTAGTGTTGGTGCTGGGGGATCCCCTGGCACTAGGGTCCAAGCTGGGAGGCTCCAGCAGCTCCTGTGCTCTGCGTGGCTGGGCAAGAAACGAAACTCAAAGCCACCTTAACTTCCCCACCGTGACGCCATCAGGGCAGCAGCCTGAGAGGGTTTAAAGGCAGCTGCAAGCAGCAGAGGACTGGAGAGCCCGGAGGAGGATGGCGCTGGGGCTAGTGCCAACCATGGAAGGGCTGGAGACTGTGTCCCAGCGCGAGCTGGATGCCTGGATTGCCAGGAACCTGGAGCCCAGCACYGCTTTCAGCAAGCAGGTGAAGGAGACGGTGAAGAAGATCTGTGATTTCTTCAAGGAGCAGTGCTTCGAGAGCATCCGCGTGCACAAGACAGTCAAGGTGAACGCTGCCTGGCACCTCTGGGCACCGTGGTCCCTGCCACACCAGCCCCCTCCCAACCTCCGGGGCTCCCTCCCTCACGGGCACCCAGGGCCACCCTTCTCCTTGCCCTGTGCTCTGCCTCCATTTTCCTTAGCAGCTTCTGTGAGTGGCCAGGGTCCTTCTGCCATGCCTTGCCCCATGGGGTGGCAGTGCTGAACAGATTCCCTGTCCTTCTGCAGGGCGGCTCAACAGGCAAGGGCACGGCCCTCAAGAACAACTCTGATGCCGACGTGGTGATCTTCCTCAGCTGCTTCTCCACCTACCAGGACCAGAAGGAGAGGAGAGCTGAAATCCTCRACCATATTGAGAGGATGCTCGAACAGTGCAAAAACACGCTGACGTTCTCTGTGACCGTCAGCAGGCCCCGGCGCAAGGGCCGCTATGGGTCATCCGCGCGCTCCCTCAGCCTCACTCTGTGGTCCACATCGGTCTCAGAGTCTGTCGAGGTTGACGTCCTGCCTGCCTATGATGCCTTGGGTAGGTCRGGCTGTGCACTCGGCAGTTGTGGGGCTGGGCTGGGAGCAGCTCGTGCTGGGGGCAGCTCTTGCAGCGCTCTCTYGCCCCACAGGGCAGGTGATCCAGGACACTATGCCGGATCCTAATGTGTACGTGAAGCTCCTGGCTGCGCATGGCGACCTCAGTGAGTTTTCTCCCAGCTTCACGGAACTGCAGAAGAAGTTTGTGAAGCGCTGCCCAGCCAAGCTCAAGAACCTGCTGCGCCTGGTCAAGTACTGGTACAAGGAGGTGAGTGGCTGTCCAGCCTTGCTGCACCTGCACGGGCATCCCAGGATCCGTCCCAAATCCCACCGCATCCCACAAGGGTGCCTGTGCCTGCCACCTCTCACCCATTCCCATCTCCTTTCCAGGTTCTGAAGCCACGGAACCCCTTGGCAAACCTGCCCCCCAAGTACGCCCTAGAACTGCTGACCATCTACGCGTGGGAGCAGGGCGCGGAGGCTAGAGAAGACTTCAGCATGGCTGTGGGCTTCCGCACCGTGCTGGAGCTGCTGTGCCAGTACCAGAAGATCCTCATCTACTGGGAAAAGTACTACTCTCTGCAGCACCCTGAAGTGGGCGTCTTTGTGAAGAACCTGCTGCTGCGCAGCTCACGGTGAGAGCCCCCAGCCCCAGCACTGCCTGTGCCACCCGCACCAGAGGCACTGCCTGCCACTGCGGCCCCACATGCTGCTCCCAAATGGAGCCAGCATCGGGGCAGGGGCCATGGGCACAACTGCAGAATGCCCAGGCCTCCATCTGCCCTGGAACAGCACTAACAGCAGGGCCTGTGCTTGTCTTCACAGCCCCGTGATCCTGGACCCCGCCGACCCAACAGGGATCCTGGGCCAACGCACAGATTGGGCTCTAGTGGCGAAGGAGGCTGCTCGTTGCCGTTCCCTGCCCTGCGTGGCCTTTGCCCATCCCTGGACTGTGCAGGTAGGGTGGCCCGCGGCTGAGCAGGTCGCAGTCCCCAGACCATGTCCCTGCTGACTTCACCCACCTGCCCTCTTCCCCCACAGCCAGCTCGGCCCGTCACAGTGAAGATAAAGCGTCTCACGGGCCACAGTCTGACCATGAGCGTCAGCCTGGACACCACCATCCTGGAGCTGAAGAGAAAGATCGGGGAGCAATGGGACATCCCTTTATACCAGCAGTGCCTGGGCCAGCAGGAACTAGGTCAGGCTCCCCAAACTCTGCAGGACAGTGAAACCCTGGCTGCCTACGGATTCTTCTGCAGCACCACACTGGTGCTGTTGCAAACTGAGGAGATGGAGGTCCTGGTGAAGGAGAACAGCCGCATGATCCTCTACACTGTGCGGCCCACTGACACTGTCCGGCAGCTCAAGCAAAAGATCTATGAAAAGCAGGGTGTTCACGTAGACCAGCAGCAGCTGATGTTTGACTCCAAGGAGCTGCAAGATCAACACACGCTGGTGCACTATGGCATCAAGAGCAAGAGCATCATCCACCTGCTTCTGCGTCTTCGTGGGGGCACGGCCCTCCAGTACCCTCGCCTCCCTGTTCCCTTGCCCTCCTAAGCATTACCTGCGCACCAGCTCAGCCCGCTCTATCTATGCACCATGCTGTAAATAAATGACTCAGAAAACCTTTGTGCTGCCCTGGTTTTAGGGACCTTGCAAACCAGCAAAGGGGCAGTTTGGGGATGACTTTGCGGAGAAGGAACAAAGGTGCTATGTAGGCATAGGAGAGGAAAACAGGTCCTGCCAGGTCGGGGATGCCAGCCCAGCACCAGAGCACGTGCCAGCAGAATTGTGGGGGGCACATTTTTGCGGCCAGCAGAATTGTGGGGGGCACACTTTTGCGGCCTGTAGCTACTCCTAAGCCTTTCCACTCTCCATTCCGATGGCATCCTGAGCACGAATTTAAGGTGGTCCCAGTCCTGGGGCTTTGCCCACTCCTCAGCCACCCAGAGCTGTGGGTTATGTAGATGCGAGATACTCCCCCATTCCCCTCCTTTCCCCCCACAGGCTCCTTACCAAGGCATCGTGCAGCACCAATCCCAGGACACTCGGAGGTGGAGAGGCAGTATAGGGGATGTATGTCTGGGGCTGGGTCGCCAAAAGGTTCCTGTTCCCAGGGTCTCTAGGGCTTCTCTGGCCAGTCACTACGACGGGGACCTTCGTCAGCACAGGGATGTAGCCGCAGGGCAGCACCGCCATGGGCAGCTGCCTGYGGGCTCAGGAAGATGCTGGAGCTGCGGAGGCCAGGGGGACCTTGTGGTTTGGGCTTGCTCAGGGCCCCCTTCCCATGCCCCAGCTGTTACGAGCGCCAATGGCACCCCATGGGAGCACCCCAAACTAGGCAGGGCCTGCGGGAGTCTGGGGTTCCATGTCCGGGGCTGTGCTCATCCTGGGAGGCTCTTGTGCTGTGGCCAACACGGGGATACCATTGGCGTGTTACCAGTGTCACCGGTGGCACAGATGTCACCACAGGCAGCAGGACACAGCAGAGCCAGGGTTGCATTTCAGCTGCTCCCTGAAGCCTCGGCTCCGGCAACGCCCTGGAAACCGCTCAAGTTTCGATTTCAGTCTTCTAGAAATGAAAGTGCAGATGACTGCTCCGGGTGGTCCTGTATGACAGCCGCGCATGGGGAGGAATGAACCCGCTGGGGATTTCCTATGGCGGGGGGCACATCCTGGGGGTCTGGGCACATTCCAGCCGCTGGGCTGAATCCTCTGCTTTATTGTGGTGAGTTAGTACAAATGTAGTGGCTCGGCGGCTCTGTCCCACACAGCCTGTCTGCTGGCACAGCCGTGCCCAGGATGCCGGGCACCTCCAGCATCCTCTCYTCCTGACAGAGAAGCCCCTTAGGTCCCACCAGCCCCAGGGCAACGCCTCGGTTCCCAGTCCTGGCCAGGTCCCAAGCCCTTGGGTCCTGCTCCTCTTCGCATGGCTGCCTGCGAAGGCTTGGCCAAGTCTGCCCAGGCCCCTCCTGACCTGGGCACCCCAGTGCACCTTGGACTCCTGCCCATGGCATGAACACCACTTACCAAGCCCACAGGATGCAGTCTGGCCCTGCCCGCCCCAGCACACCCAGGGCATGTTTACATTCCTCGGTAACAGCCGTTAATAAATACAGCGGTTTTGTGGCGTCCCAGGAACCCGCTTGGTCCTCCGCAGGTGCTCAGAGCCGGCGGTGGYGGACACAGGGATCCTGGCGGCCACGGGCAGCCGGGCGCAGCCATCAGAGATCTTCAGGCCAGCGGCTCTACCCGCGCCGGCACCCGAGCTGCCGCCGGCCCCCCGGCTCTGCCGCCACGCTGCGGAGCGACACCCGCGGCCTGTCCAGCGCCAACGCTGCCGCCCTGCCTTCTGCCCGTGACTCCGCTCCTAGACAGAGCCCGGCGCCCAGGGCCAGCGCCAGGGTCACCAGGGGGCYGCGTGGCGGGGCCCTCGCTCAGCGCGCGGCGCCTCGTGCGTGCGCCGGCTGCGGCCCTTGCGCGGTTCCTCGGCCTGCTGCCGCCATTTGGGCAGCCGGGCCTTGGTGCTGAGCGGCGGTGGCAGCRGCGGCCTCCTGCGGGCTGCAAGGCTCCCGCGGCTCCAGAGCCGCTCGCACACCTTGTCCATGGCCCCCAAGGGCGGGTGGTCCACGAGCTGCAGGAAGTCCCGGTACCAGACCTTGCGGCCGGGGGGGCCTGCCGGTTCGGCGGTGAGCGGCAGCCCCGGGGCCTGCTGAGCACCGATCACCTCCAGCACGAGTCGCAGCAGGGGCTGCGTGAAACTGTGCTCAACAGCGTGGCAGAGGTAGAGGCCAGCGTCGGCGGGCTGCACACTGCGCAGCAGGATGCCCCGCTCCGTCCGCACCACCCGCTCGTCCAGCTGCACCTGTGGGCACCGATGGGCACGGGGTGGGTGGCGGGAAAGAGCACAGCACAGTGCAGAGCAGCCCTGGGCGCCAGCCACAGCTGTGCTGGGACAGCCCTACCTCACGCTTGGGGGCATCACTGGTGCGCTGGTACGTCCAGAGCACGCGGGCTCGCAGGGACTTAGGCACGCACTCCAGGAAGGCGCTGCTGCCCTCCACCCCGTAGAGCTTCTTCTGGGGCACGCTGCCCGGCTGGGGGTCTGCGGGACACGGCCAGGCTGTGAGCACCGAGCGCCAGCCTCCTGCTGCCACAGCGGGGCAGCACTTTACACCAGGGCCCCAACTCACCTTCAGAGCAGAGCATGTTGGGGTCCCCGTTGCGGATGTCCTGCCGGCGGAAACGCCTGGGGGACACAGGGGCGGGAGGTGAGGGCTGGGCAGCAGCAGGATGGGTGCCCCTCAGCAGGGCATTCGGGCATGCTGTCAGCTGCCCGTGGCTGTAGGACGGTCCCATCTACCTTTTGGTGTTGGGCACGTAGCGGGTGCAGGAGTTGCCGTCCCAGGCGCAGTAGGGGTCCCGGGCCAGGCAGCACTCAGCACAGGCCTTGCCATAGATGCTGCAGCGGTGCAGCGGCAGCTGGGCCACAGCCGTGGCCGAGCTGGCATAGAGCTGTTGCTGCAGGGGGAAAGGGGGCTTGAACATCCCCACAGAAGGGCAACAGCTCGTCTGTAGACACAGACATATGGGGACAGGCCCTGCGGAGCTGGTGRTCATGGAGCACTGCTCCCCCTTACCCGCTTGGAGGAGATCTGCAGGCTGGTGATGGGGGACGAGTCCTGCCAAGAGAGCAAAGGCAGAGGTCAGGGCAAGCTGCGCTTGGCATGGGGTGCACCAAGTCCAGGGCACCCTGGGGAAAGGGGTGTAGAGAGARCCAAGGTGCTCAGGCTGTCTTTCTCACCTGGAAGACCTGAAGCTCCTCCAGCACCAGTTCCTCCATGCTCTGCCAASTCCCTTTGGGCACCGAGACCACCTTCAGCACTGTTCCCACATCTGCAGGGAGGAACAGAGTGAGGCGGGAGATGCTGAGGGGCCCAGCTCCTGTGCTCAGCACAGTCCCAAACCTTGAACCCTGAGTCAAGGAGGCACCACGTGCCTGTGCCAATGAAGAGGACATCGTAGTGGCCGTCAGCAGCTGTGACGCGGTCCACAGCAATGCGGGTGAAAGTGTAAGGTGTGTTGGCCTGGAGGAAGAGGGGGCGGTGGCCGTGGGGTAACACCGGGTTGTACATGAGCGGGTGGTGCCGGGCAAACTGGATCACCTCATCCGGGAAGTCCTTGGTGGAGCTGAAGGTGCCAAAGGTTTTGCTAGGGCACTGCAGGGAGGCAGAGCCAGGTAAGCAGGGGATGCTTGTTACCAGTGGTCCCCATGGGCCACCTGAGCACCCTCTGGACTCCCTGCTCGCCCCATGCCACGTACCATACCGGGGCGGGGGTACGGCACACGAGCCTGGTACGACACCCACTGGTAGTTGGGGCCCTCCTTGTGTGCGAAGGGCCCCAGGAAAGCCCGACGGATGTCAGCCATGGTATAGACACAGACGGCCGAGCCCTGGAAAACGGAACTGATGAGAGAGACACATGATGACGTGAGAGGCAAAAAGGTCAGAGGGCACCCTGGGTGTGTGTCAGCTGAGCTATGGGGAGTGCACTTTACCTGGAGGTAGAGAAGATGGCATAGACCAGAGGATTGCGCTTGTCCCTTGTTTGCAACAGGAAGACGTCACCTGCGAGCATACACAAGGACAGGGACAGTATCAGCACTGCTTCTGCACACCAGAGCTGCCTGGGGTCCTCATGCACCCTGGGTGCCCCAGAGGCATGCTGCACCCTGTGCCCTCGCAGGGCTCCCTGTTGGCACTCACGGAGCTCATCAAAGTGGGTGTCTGCACCATCGGTGTCCGGCACCGAACACACCAGCCGTGCCTTCAGGAATGTCGTCCACTTGTTCACCAGGCTCCGCTGCCCACCCATGTCATTCTGGCGAGCAATACAGAGCACTCAAAGCGAGCGCCCATGGTCCCGCATGCTCCAGYGAGCCAATGTGCCAGGTTGGCCCCYGCGCCAGGCTCCCACCACGTGCACAGTGTCCCAGGCGCTCTCACCCTGCAGATCTGGCCAATGCGGGCAAAGCTGGTCTTGCCCAGCCCCTGCTGCCTTTCCACTGCCGTCTCGCGGAAGAAGAAGTAGATCTTGTCATCATCAGGGTTCTCGCTTTCAGGCACCCAAAAAACATCCACGAACTTGGGCTCTGCGGGGCAAAGGGCAGCAGATCAGGGATACTACAGCTAGTGTCCATGCTGTGCACAGGGTTGGGCATCTGCARGCACAGGGAGCACCATCACAGAGCCACCCTCCAGCAAAACTGACCAGGCCCCCAGAGGAAAGGGACCCCCCCATGCCCAGCTGTGTGGCACACGGGTGGCAAGGATGGAAGCCCACTGGTCCACCCCTTCCAGTGGACATACGGTGTCCACACGGGGGCAGCAGGCACCCACCGAGTGCCCTGCGCAGAGCTCCTGCTCACCCCAGGGTGCTGCGGGTAGGATCGGCACCAAGCACCCAGACTCTTTGGCCAGGTGACCCTGAAGGTCTGTCAGTGCCATGCCACAGGTCACCACAAGGACACCCATCCCTCATTCTGTCCCACTGCCCGTGTGCTGCTGGCACTAACCGTTGAGCCAGCGGGAGTCGTGCTGCTCGGTGCGGATAGACGGGCGCGAGCCCAGGCTGCGGAAGATGGTAAAGTCACGACCCATCAGATCGGTGGCCACCCCAGAATAGAGCTCCTCACCTGGCAGGCACCAAGAGGAAGCATTAAACAGGGCCCTGCACCCCCTGGAGTCCCATGGTGCTTGGCTGATCCRCTGGGCTGGGGCTTGGTCCCCTCTTACCCACAAGGACGGACGCGGCTGCATGCCRGGGGTCATAGGGGCTCTTCCCTTTGCCATCCTCAGAGTGCTGCAGGTCCAGTTTGAAGATAGAGTCCTGGTGGGATGGACAGGTCAGAGGCAGGTGGGCACGTAGGGGACAYGAGGGGCTGGCATGACCCTGTCGCRTACCAGGCTCCTGCTCACCTCTGTGTGCTGGCCGACCTCCACAAAGGCGCAGGTAGGGTGGAAGGCACCAGTGCCGCAGGCGTACAGGTGGGTCCGGTTGTAGTAGTGCAGGATCTTCACAAAGTTCATGCACTCGGTCTGGAGGAGAAGACAGGCACAGCAGGCAGTGCTGAGCAAGCATCCACRCCAGGCACCCGCTCCTGCAGCTCTGCAGCACCCGAGGCTCTGCCTGAGCCTCAGTTTGCCCAGGTGCTCTGAAATGCAGAAGTCCGGCAAGCTGCTCCTCAGCACCCACTGTGCAACCTCTCAGCCACTCACGTTGATGTCCTTGCCAGCCCAGTTACACTCTTCYCTCCACTCCACAGGTGCCGGCCAGTAGATCTGTGGGACAGAGAGYGGGAGGGGATGCTTACTGTTGTCTCCAGGGACAGGCAGGTTCCCCTAACCTCTCACCCTGGCTGAGACCCACCAAACTCATGTCATGTCTCAGAGGAGAGGGAGGCCACCTCCACACCACGCTCCGGAGACAGTCTGGTCTTGCTGCAATGGTGCCCGGCRGGGCCACGTTCCATGTTTTGGAGCTGTCCCTCCCCATGATGCCCAATAACGCAGTCACTTTGCACCCGGCTCTGTTACCTTCCTGTCCTGTTGGCTGATGTTGTCGAGGCTCAGTGACACCAGGTGGTTCTTGGCCCCCACGAAGAGACGGCCGCGCTCCTCGTCCAGCAGCAGCACGTTGTAGCAGCACGAGCGCTCCAGCTGGTAGAGGYGCAGCCCGTGGCGGGCCCGCAGCTCTGTGGGGCCAAGGCAGCCCTGCTAGGCCCTGCCATGCCACGTCCCTCCCATCAAGCCAGGCATCACCCAGGGCCGGGCAGGAAACCCGGGAATCCTGCCCCTCTCTCATGCCCTAAGCGCTCTGCGAGCTGCTGCCAGGCAGGGATGTTACTCCCACCACAGGTGCTCCATCCCACCCAAGCTGGTAGGGTGGAGCAGATGCAGACGTAGCTCAACACAAAGGCCTGGCTTGGCAGCGCAGGAGCTCAGAGCAGGCAGGGCTTCTGCCCCAATGCTTGTGGCAGGGACTACGTCCTGCCACATTCCCCTGCAGTGCTGTCCCCTCCCCCCAAACCCATCCCACCAGCTTTACCGGGTTCACCGCCCCCATACCAGCCCACCATCAATCTTTGCACAACAGGCGGCTCTGGGGGGAAAAAGGGCCTTTTCTCTGCCCCACGGAGCTAATCCCTCCACTGCAGCAGGAATAAATAGCCCTTTGTAAAGGTTTGAAAAGGAGAGTGCTCGCCAGGGACCCAGCTACCCGCTGGCCAGCCCAGCTACCTGGTAGCCACCACCTTGGGGTGTTGCAAGGCAAAGCACTCAACCCGGATCACCTTCACAACATGCCCCAGACTGAGTTGGTGCCTGTGTGGACTCAGGGGCCTGTGATCGCAAGCCCTCCTGGTGCTCGTGGGATGTAGGTGCCCATGCCCCAGCTCTGCAGGACAAGGAAGTCCACGTGCCCATGGGCACGCGATATGTTGTCCCSAGCCGGCACAGCACAGATGCTCAAAGAGCCACAAGGAGCCAGCGGGGTAGGACAGAGCCAGAGAGCACAGCCACAGGGAGCTTAGGGGATGCCTAGGAGCAGGCATCTGAGTGCACAAGAGCAAAAGAATCAAAGCAGGCCTGAGGGCAGATGTGCCCGCTAAGCAGGTGTCTTGCAGGAGACCAACATCAAGCGAGTCACTGGGCACCCCATATAGGCCCACCAATGTCCACCCCCATGAAGTGGGTGCAGGCATTGCAGGAGACCCCGATGCTGGGGCTCTGCATCCCTCCAGGATGTCCTCCCCGGCCACCAGCCTGCTGTGCCCCCCAACCCCACACTGCCCTGCAGACGTCTACTGGGCTCAGGCCGGGGCGCGACTGCAGCGCTCAGACACCCAGCTCTGCCACGCGGCCGTCCCAGCCTGGCTCCAGCCCACTCCCCCAGCACTCACCTGGGAAGGCCAGTTTGAGACGGGGCGTGGCGGGGGGCGGCGGATGCCCAGCGCCCACGACAGGGCTGCACAGCAGCAGGAGCAGGAGCCGCGCRCGGACCATGGCTGGTGCCTGGCTCAGCAGGCGCCGTGCTCGCAGCACCCCCTCCGCCTAGGGCTGCAAGGCAGAGGAGCGAGACCGTCAGCTCGGGTTACAGCCCCCCCCCCTCCTCCTCCGCGCGGCACCTTGTGGCACGCCGGGGCCCCGCAGCGAGGTCTCATCCCTGGCGCACAGCTGGCACCCGCAGCCCTGACCGAAATGCCTCCTCCCTGCTCACTACCACTGGTCCTGCCTTGCTGAGGGAGCCTGGAGAGCACTGGGCACTGCTGCTACTGCCACCTTGACCTCACACAAGGAACCCATTGCTGCACAATCCAGCCAAGGGGTCCCACCAAGACTGGCCTTGACCCAGGAAGGTCGGATGGGGACAAGAGCCACCTGTGCTTCTCCCCAGGCACCATAATTTTTGTGCCTCCAAACCTGATGCGAAGTCAAAGGGCTTCAGGAGCGCCACTCCTGCCTGTGAGGAAACTGAGGCAGAGCTGACCAAGCAGCGCTCGCGGCTCTCGCCATGCCAGGAGGAGAGGACTGGGCTCTGCCTGCTCTCACCCCCGAGCTCCAGGGACACAGGGCAAGAGTCTGGTTTGGGGCTAACTGGATACTCAACCATGGGACAAGGCAACAGGCTCCTGATCATGAGGCAAATGGGCCAGTGTGTGGGTCGCCTGGCCCATGCCTCAGTTTCCCCCTCCAACCACCAGGACACCCTACCTTCCTTTATGGCCCAGCAGGGCTGAGCTAGCTTCAGGCAAGAGCCAGAATCAGGGTGCTGGGTCAGAGAAACGACAAGGCTGCCCCATGGTGGGAAAAGATCTGGACACGTCCATCCACTGCAGCCTGCTGCCTGGCGCGACCAGCCAATGCTCACCCCATTACGTTGGGGACAAGGCCCCAGGTGGCTCCCACCCAGCCCGTGCAGCGCCAGGGCAGTCAGCACCCAGAGCAGTGGGTGCATGGTCCTATCCGCTGGGAGTGGGAGTGTGGCAAGGGCAAGTCTGAGCCCGAGTGCCAACAGCATTTTGCCAACTCAGAGTCACGACATCCCAGCAGTGGGTGCAGAAAAAGCCCAGGGAAGCTCAGCCGTGCCGGACCCCTGCTACTCACCTCAGCTGGGTGACGCRCACTCTTGCTCGGACGCTGGCGGTGCTGCGGGCTGGCCCTGACGCGGAAAGCGAGACGCGCTGGCGGCCCACTGCCGCGTGCTCACTGCGCACTCCGAGAGGCTGTAAAAGTTTATGACACGGATCGAGTGACAGGCAAAAACAGGAGGCAGCTGGTGAGGCAATAACCTTGCCGGCTCCGGCTCTGGCTGTTCCTCTTGGGGGGAGAAAGAGTCGGGAGGAGCCAGCAGAGCTCAGTCAAGAGCGCGGCTGTCGGATGAGTTTCCCAGACTCAGCCAGGGACGCAGCTCTGAGCCCTCACGGAGGGGTTGCCTGCTTGTAGGCGTGGGCCAGCGGGGCCAACTCAGCCGGACCCCCACTGCCGGGGCAGAGCCCCCGTGGCCAGCTCGGAGACCCCACCGCAGCCCCGGGAACCCGCACGCACCCACCTGGCGCCGGCGCTCGGCTCGGCTCCGCCTCGCTCCGCTCGGTCCCGCCCGCCCCGGCTCGGCTCGATCCGCCCCGGCTCCGCTCGGTGCCGCCCGGCTCCGCTCGGTCCGGCCAGGCCCCGCTCCGCCCCCCGCGTCCACACGTGAGGGCGGCCCCGACGGGGCGGGGCGGCCCCGGCAGCGGCGGCCGCGGAGCGCCCAGGGGCGCGGGGGCTGCGAGCCCGGCTGCGCCCCTGCCCGTGCTGCCCGCGGCCCGAACACRCGCGGAGCGGAGCGGGGCGCAGCGGGCACACACACCTGCACCTGCGCTCGCTCCTGTCCGCACACGCCCYGCTCGCGTGGCTGCATCTGGCCCACGCAGGGCCCCGTGCCTCGCTATCGCACCCATCGCACGCATGCAGCCCTGCTCGCCAGAGCTCATCACCTGGCTGCTGCGGCACCTGCGGTGGCAAGTCCTGCCGCCGGTGCCAGCCACCCTCCTTGTGCCCGTAGCGGCCACCGCGCGTTGGCAGCCAGATGTGGTGCGGCTGCTCGCACCAGTGCTGCATGGGCACACGCAAGCAAACRCTGGGCCCGTGCACGTGCAAGCAAATTTGGGTGGTGCCACGTGGGCCGCACGCAACTGCTGGCTGAGCCAGCGCGCCTGTCACGCACCCATGTGGGGCACTTCCTCACCCATGGCGCGCACCTGCACACAGGCCCTACGCTGCACTGCAGCACAGAGACTGCGTTCAGCGCCCGTCAGCCGCACCATCCCCATCCTGCTCTCCCAGCCACATGCCCACGTGGCACCTGGTGATACCCTGCGTGTGAATCAGAGCCTGGCTGGACCTCTGCCCCTTGTGGGGTGCCTGCTGATGAGAGCCCACCACGCTCAGGACACACGTGTTGGGGTGAGCCAGGCCAAGCAGGTGCCTGGGGCAGGGTGTCCTCCTGGCTGGGAGCAGGGTGCACRGGGGCAGTGCGGGGCCGCGCGTGGGGCGCCGGCTGGGAGGTGGGCCCGGCCGCCACTCCCCGCTCAGCTGCGGCCCAGATGTCTGGCTTAGGCCCAGCCCGGAGCAAACAAAATTCCTCCGCTGCCTCCCATTTTCCAGGCGGTGCTGCCAAAAATAGCAAGTGCCGAATGATGCCGGCAACGGAGCTGTGCGTGCCTCCTCCAGCGGGGTGGTGGAGGGGGGTAAGCCACCTGGGAGGCCCCCCGCCGCTGTCCCCCCTGTACCCCGTGACTGCCCTTGCCCAAGGGGTGGGTGTCCTTGCTGGAAGGTGGTGCGTGCCAGCGGGTGCAGGCAGGAGGGCTGTCAGCAGGTGTAGGCAGTGGTGCAGCTGGCTGTGAGCACCAGCAGCAGCCATGGAGGAGGGTGTCCCTCCCCGAGGCTGTCAGTGGGCGAAGCTGTGGCTGCTCCACCATGGCATACAGGGTAATCATTGCCCGTAGAGCCCTGCCAACCGCCATCGGCACCCACACCATCTCTGCCCTTGAATCCCACCTGCAGCAAGGGGTTCCACTGGCTGTGGTCATGTGACGACGGCAGTATCTGGATTCCAGCGGCATCCCTGTGGCAGCGGGTCTCAGAGTGCTGACCCCAGGGACACAAGGCTGGCTCTGGAGCCCAGTTCCCCAAACCTGTCCTATACTAATTGCAGATTGGTGGCAGAACCCAGTTATCCAGGTGGCGCCCAGCCCAAAGCCCACTTGGAAACTGGGACAGGTTAGGGTTGGGGTTCTTCTGTGCACCAGGGGCAGACATGGAGAAGGTTGCATGCATCCTCTGGTGTCCTAAAAGTGGCCCTGGAAGCTCTGAGAAAAGGTGTAGATGGAGACCCCTTGCCTCCTTCAGGCTGCCCCATCACTGAGCCACTACAGAGCCCAGACACCTTCATCTGGGCTCAGTGAAGCCCTACCCAGGGCCACAGTACCGGTCTCCTTCCGGAGCTTTATGCCACGCCGTCAGGCTTGCAGCCTCTCCTTGCCAAATCCATGATGGGAACCTCAGGCTGGCAGCGGGCTGCGTCCCTTCCCAGCCTTCCCAGRGTCCTGGTCAAAGGAAAGAGCATGGAAAGCCACTGGCATGGGAGGAGGTGGCTTGGGTGCATTATAGGGTGTGGCAACACAGTGGGGATTCACCTGGAATGTCCAGCAGGGCCAGGATCCATCTGAGCTGCTGTCCCAATGTGCGCCCACCCAAGGTCTCAGCTAAACGGTCCAAATGGCCTGCTGGGCCATACCAGCAGCCACGTGGGGCCTGGGCATCCAAAGGGAGCCGATGGTGTGTTTTTGTGGGATAAACAAGGAGGTGCTGTGCCGGGGAATGTTCCCTGTTGTCATCCAAGTCACTGAGAGGGCTACAGCCTCCAGTTGGGCTTGCGGCTGGTCGCCCATGCTGAAGCCAGTCGCTGTGGCTCAGTTTCCCTCCATCAAGTGAGATAGAGAAAGTGCTTGGAGCACTATCAGCACTTCTTGCRATGGCACAACTGAGCCCTTTCCGCCCCTTCCCACAGGCTGTGGGAGCTGTGGGACTGGTYGCAGCCCTGCAGCAGCAAAGCTGCCTTGGGATGCAGCATCCCTCGCCTGCAGCCGGGGAGGTGGCGAGGAAGCCCCGGGAGCGGCGCTGCTGGGGGTGTCAGCGCAGGCCAAGGGCCGGAGCCCTGCACGAGCCTTGCCAGGAGCTGCCTCCAGCTGGAGAAGTCATTAGGCGTCAGAAGGGCCGAGTTTCCATCCCAGAAAAACAGCGCCGGTGCTGCCAAAGCAGCTGGGTAGCCCCGGAGGAGGCAGGCAGGCGGGGACAGGGATCCTCTGCCGGCCGCCACGTCGCCCACCAGCCGCCGCGCCGTGCAGTGGGGCTGGCCAGCGTAGAGCAGCGGTGCCAGATGCGGCAGGCAGCCCTTCCCCGGGAGAGCCGCGTGTGCTTCTGGCAGGGCCCCGCGGCCCCGCACCGCTGATGCCTTCCAGATGAGGCAGTGAGGCTGCCTGGTTTTGACATTGCCTCTGTCATCCCGCTCTGTAGATCAGTCTCAGGAGCCTGGCTCGGGCTCTGCATGCCTTAAAGGTGCCCCTGCAACTCWTCCCCCTGCAGCATATCACCCTTGCAGCCGGTGCTCAGCTGCCACTCCGCAATGCCACCGGCGGCCTCCCCTTGCCACTGTCAGAGCAGCTTTGCCCTCCCACGAGCGAGGCAAACAGGGGCTCAGCACCTACACGAAGCAGCCTGGAAAGAGCAGGGCTGAGTGCTTCAGGCCAACACCAGTGGGTCGTGTGCGAGGCGGAGGCGGCAGCAAGACCGGACCTGCTGCCCACCAGCTGCAGGGTGGCGAGGCTCTGCAGAGATGGCACAGCTGGCACCAGGGCCGCGCAGGTGCGGGCGCCTCCGTGCTTTGATGTCCTGCAGCTGCAAGCCAGATCTGCGTGTGGGCGGCCACCTCCTCCTTCCAAGTCGCTGTCGGCTCTTCCGGCTCCGATAACCATCTCTGCCAGCAGCGTGCAAGCCCTGGGGAAGCGTTTGCGGTAGGAAGCAACTCCTTTCCACCCCCGTGTACCTCCAGGGTGCTGCGAGGCGTCAGGCAGTGGCAAAGGGCTCCTCGAGCACCAGCACTGCCRAGCAAGCAGGTCCATCATGTTCTGAAGGGCAACCAGGACCAGATCCTCCCCATGGATGTGGGCAGGGCGGCAGGGCAGGCTGAGGCCCCCTCGCCACCAGGATGGGGAYGATCATGCAACCTGTCCCCAGGCACCCCTGAAGGAGTGCCCTGATGATGCTGTAGGGACCTCTGGTTAGAGGGGGGATCCCAAAGCTAGGAGGCTGTAGTCTCCTGCCCTCCTTGGGTGTTGCAGAGGCTCCGTGGAGCTGGAGGAGGTGTCACCTTCACAACTGCACTGCCCCAGTGGGACAAGGCGACCAAAGCTATGCTAGTTGGTGCTGTAGTTGCCACCCAGTGAGGGTCAGGCTCCATCCCACTGGCTCCCAGGACAGATTTGCAAGGGTATGAAGCCAGACTCCCCTCAACAAGACTGGGTTTCCAAAGATTGTGACTTGCAGAAAAATCTCCTTCTTCCTCTTCCTTGTCCACCTCCTCCTGCCCATCATGGGGACCTGCTGCAAGGGAGCCTGGCCCTTGCTCTGGAGGCCAAGGAGGGATGCTGCTGCCTGTTGAAAGCATCCTGGCAGCCTGGGCAAGGGGAGCAGGGGCTCAAATCCCACTTTCACAGCCATGGAGCTGCTGGTGGAGGATCAGATGTGGGTTAACACAGGGCTAACTGTCCCCTGAGCCGTGGCATGCGCCCATGAAAGATCCAGCCACAGCCGCCCAGCTCTTCTCTGCAGCCTTTGTGAGCTGGTGGGACTCATTAATTATCTGCGGTGCTGCTTTTCAGATGGGGTTTTGTCCCTGAACAAAATAGGACTGCTCAACCAAGCCGGGACTTCGAACTTTGCATGCAACATGCAACACCACCAGCTCCCCTCCATGGCCATCGCCCCGGCCTTGCTAAAGCCCCAGCCAAAACTCCCTGGCTGGGGCTGCTGAGGTGGGGGGGCCACCAGCTGAGGGCGCGAGGCGGTCTCAAACCCTCCAATGCAGCACCCAAGCCCAAATGTTTGCATTCCACAAGGCATCATCACAAGACCCCCTGCTTCTCTCCCCTGCTGAGGATGGGTGGCCAGTTCTGACCTCTCTCAGCACCTTGGAGCCACAGGGTCCCTTGGTCACAGCCTGGTGGAAGCTGTTGTGGGAGCTGCAGGGATGGAGGAACCCAGATGGGGGATGGAGTGGAAGCAAAACCGAATGCTTTGATTTTTCGCTGGCCTCAACCCAACCGTTCTGCTGGAATGCACTCAGTCCCACACGCCACATCTAAGAGGGGGGAACATCTGGATGGTTCCACATATGGGGAGCACCAGTAGTGTGATGCATGGTCCAGCCAGATGGACACCCTCTCTTGTGAGCGGGGCTGGGCTGCCGAGACCAAATCAGGGCATCTCCAAGGGGGTGGGATGCTTCACTGCACAGTGACGGTCCAGCCCCTTTGGGATCCGTGGCTCCTAGGACACAGCCATGTCTGGATGGCCTGACCACCTTCCATGCTGGCAAAATGGGGCAGTGCCGAGTCCCAGYAGTGCTGGAGAACGAATTCAGTGGAAAAAAGGAGTGGGAGGCCTGGGACAAGAAAGACAAATAAATAGGGAGGGAAGGACTAAAGGGGAACCAGATGCACACAAGCAGAGAGGGGACACAATCCGAGCTCCCTGCTGATGCTTTAGCCGCTGTCAGCCAAAAGACATTTTTTTTGTAGCAAGGGAGGCCAGAGGGCCTTCACTGGGTCTTGGTGACACCACTTGTTTCCCGGGAGCAGAAGGGGGCATAGASGGAGGGAAGACATCCCATCACAGGGGCTAGGGTCCTCTCATCCCCCTATGCCTGGGCTCCAGGCCTAGAAATGTCCCCCTTTCCATGTCACCCCCTCAAGCTGGGCTGCCTGGYACTGGGTGTGCCTGAAGACCCCTTACACCTGAAGATGGTTTTGAGAGCTGCTTTGGGCTGATGGTGAGGGCAG